TTCTTCCAAAGATCCAGACTAAAAGTATAGAAAGTTTTCAAGTCGTATTTCTTATCCTAAGCATTAATCAGGCTACATGCTTTTCATGTAGCCTTTCCAGTTTGGACACTAATACCATGCAATTTTGTGCCCTCCATTCTCCAAGACAATCCGTGGCCACCCACTGCCTCTGGAAGAAAGTCCAAATCCATCGGCCTGGCAGATGGCTCTTCACAACACACTCCAGGACAATCTTTCCAGCCTATGCTTGATACTGTCCCCTGTGTCTCAAAAAACTTCTTTTTTTTTTCTTCTTCTTCCTTACTAATACGCTAATTCCTGCCTTATTTGCTCATCATCACTTCCACCTGGTCCCCTGTCCTTCCTTCTCCATTTATCCTATTCTGATTTAATGGCAAAGTCCAGCTCAAAAACTTACTTTGCCCCAAATGTAATTCATATGCATGCCTTCTGCCTTCTTTTAAATTATAATTTTCTAGTATCTAGCACACTAGGCATCTAGTGCAACAAATTGTTGATGGTAGATGATCAGTAAATTAGGGGGGATGTGAAATAAGCAGATAAATATCATGCATCCACAGCACACTCTCCTGAGGCAGGAAGGTGCAAGAGGGTTTCCCTAGAAGGTCTACCCCATGTCAATCAGTAGATCATTAGCGAGAACACTAGCCTCTTTGCCATTTGTCCATTGCACTTAATTTTTCTTCAGTCTATGAATTAGGAAAGTATTTCTCTCACTGTAGTTGAATGTACATATCCACTATACCAATTTGAAAGTTTTTTTTTCCTTTTGAGTCACAAAGTTTTGAAGTAGTAATAATATAAATTATTTTTCCTAGAAGATTGTGTCTAAGTAGTTAAGGAAGGACTGAAGTTGTGGCTCAGAGGTAGATCTCTTGCCTAACATGCGTGAAGCACTGGGTTCAATCCTCAGCACCACATAAAATAAAATATTGTGTCCACCTATAATTAAAAAATAAATATGGAAGGGCTATGTTCAAAGCACAAAGTGGACCACTGCTCCAGTAAGAGTGGGCAACCTTGTCTTGTTCCTGATCTTATAGGAAAAAATATTCCCCTTTACCTCGGTATGATGTTAGCTGTGGAATTGCCATATGTGTTGAGGCTGACCTCAAACTCCTGAGCTCAAGTGATTCTCCTGCCTCAGCCTCCTGAGTAACTGGATCTATGATGGGTGCACTTGATCTAAACCCAGTCTGGATCATGTGCCTACACCCTGGCAAGGGAGATAGCCCAAAGTATACACAGATTGGAGGAACTCATGAATGTTATCTCAAAAGCAACAGAACTCCCATCACCTGCAGACATTAGAATCTTCTAGTCTAGGCCCAGTATAAACATTGTTCTCACTGCTCTGCTTGCCACGCATTTTAGATCTTCAACAGACTCTGGATTCTTGGCAAGTGTGACTAGAGAGACTGGTGCCAATATATATCATAGGGCATAGAAAATGTTTAAGGATCACAGTCAAGAATAAAAGTAGTACTGCTCTGTTTCCCCACCAATTTAACATAGAACACTGTCTGCCATGCTTGAGAGACCACTTTGCTGGGGTTTTGGCTCAGATGGACTGGTGTAATTAGTATATTTATCTGTCTTATATTCCAATTACTTAATCTCCAACTCATCACATTATGTATAAACATTATGCTTGGGCTTGGGTTTTGGCTCAGCTGTACAGCGCTCGCCTAGCGTGCACAAGGCCCTGGGTTCAATCCTCAACACCACATAAAATAAATAAACAAAGGCATTGTGTCTAACCAAAAAATAAATATTTGAAAAAAAAATAAAAATTAAAAAAAACAAATATGATTGTCCTAAATTTAAAAACAAGAAGTAGTTAAGGAAAATAAATCCCAAATAAGTAGTCAAGATCCCAAATGGAGGACAGATGTGTGTCCTATAAAGAGAGATTGCCAGCTTGACCTCAAATCCCAGAGCACATCCAATGTGGCAATCTTCATAACCAACTGTGCTGTCCCTCCTCTGATGCCCTCTAAAGCTAAATGGATTCCTGTGAAGTGTGACTGGAGATGTGACCTAATGAAATCCAACGAATAGGGTCACCGGGGCCACTGAAGCATGAGTCTGCGTTTCCCAAGTCGCTGTAACAGAATCTGCATCTGCACAGCAGAGGGTGGGTCAGGAGGCTATCTGGTAGCCAAGAGCGCTGCTGGGGCTTTAGAGTAACAGCACGAGGCTGTAATCGAACACCATCCCAGGACACTTACCCTGCTAATCATCTCAATCATCCATCTTTTATTCATAAACACAGGGAATACATTTTCTTTGGTTGCTCCTTTTGCCCTTTCAGGTTATACCTACATTATACCATGGTATATTTTTCTGTTACGTCACATAAAATGTAGCTGGCATAAAGCATCTTGTCTATACCAACACTGGACTGGGACAGCATGATTACTGTTGATCTCAGAGACAGCATGAGTGTTTGTCTTTTAAGGGCAAGGATTTAAGTAGTTCCTTGAGCCCCACTAAGACTAAAAATGCACAGAGATGTGAGACAACCATGTAATCCAAGACAGGAGTAGACCTTAGTACCAAACAGGCTTATCATTATCTCAATTACTCATTTTATTTCAGCCTTGAACATGACTAAGAATGGTAGGATTGTTTGTTTTATTTTTTAAAATGTTAAAAATTCAACAAGAAATTCTTGACCATAGAAAAACCATCAAACTCACTCCAAAGAAGGACCTAATCACAATCACCTTGATAAAGAGCTTCTTTCCACACTTTTCCTTGTTGAACAGACAGAAATGCAAAGCCTTCACCAGAAATGTTTATGGATTACTTTTGGGAAAGGACTGCCCTGGGCTCTGGCTCATGCCTTGACATCTGTGTGGCAGGCTTTTCATCAAATAGGAACAAATGCTTTGGAGTCAGACTTCTTGTTTGGCTCTTACTGGCTGTTACCATTAATGAATCTCTCTGGGCCTCAGTTTCCTCCTCTGTAAAATGTGAATAACAATAACAACTCACATGATTATTGTGATAATTAAATGAATGTCAGCTCTTAATTTTACTCTCTTGAATTTGGCTATGATTCATTATTTTGGTATGTTTTATGAGTCCTGGGGAAACATGACCTTATTTAAAATATATCTATGCAATATATATTCAAGTCTCTAAATCAGTGATTCTCAAAGTATATTCTGGGGACACCTAGGGATCACCAAGACATATATATATATATTTCTTTTTCTACTCTACTTTTGAAGGTTTGTAAATATATATATATATATATTTTTTTTTTCTTTTAAGATGGACACAATACCTTTATTTTATTTATTTATTTTTATGTGGTACTGAGGATTGAACCCAGCACTTCACACATGCTAGGCGAGCGCTCTACCACTGAGCCACAACCCCAGCCTCACCAAGACCTTTTTAAGGTGTCCTTAAGATCAAAACTATTTTCATAATAACACTAAAATGTTATTTGCCAGCCAGGCACGGTGGCACACACCTGTAATCCCAGCAGCTTGGGAGGCTGAAGCAGGAGGTTCGAAAGTTCAAAGCCAGCCTTAGCAAAAAGCGAGGCACTAAGCAACTCAGTGAAACCCTGTCTCTAAATAAAATACAAAGTAAGGCTGGGGATGTGGCTCGGTGGTTGAATGCCACTGAGTTAATCCCTGGTAACCGTTCTCCCCCCACTCAAAAAAAAAAAAAAAAGTTATTTGCCTTTTCTCATTCTCAGTCTTTCATAAGTGTATAGAAATCCCTACTTATCCACCATTTCACTTTCTGAGGTTTCAATTTCCCACAGTCAACTGTAGTCCAAAAATATTAAATGGAAAATTCCAGAAATAGACAATTTATAGAATTTAAATTGCATGCCATTCTGAGCACCACACACCAATTTTCCTGGGACATGAATCATCCCTTTGTCCAGCCTGTCCATCCAAGCAGTATGTGGTCCCTGCCTTTAGTCACAGATTAGCCAACTCAGTTATCAGATAGTACAGTATCTACTACAGTAATTGTGTTCAAGTAACTCTTATTTTACTTAATAATGATCACAGAACACAAGAATAGAGATGTTGGCAATTTGGATATGCCAAAGAGAAACTGCCAAGTACATCCTTTAAGTGAAAGGTGAAAGTTTTTGATTTACGATAAGGTTTCTAAGATCTACAATAAGAATGAATCTTGAACTTATGAAATTGTGAAGAAGGAAAAAGAAATTTCATGCTAGATTTGCTCTTACACTTCACATTGCAAAAGTTACTGACGTAGTGTGCAAGTGCTTAGGTAAGATGGAAAAAGCATTACAATGTATGTGTATGGGTCAGTATCTGCAGTTTCAGCATCCACTGGTGGTCTTGGAATATGTCTCCACAGATAAGGGAGTGGGGCTACTATAAAGTGGAATTTTTCCAGAAACTATAAGATAGGTGATGATGTCATCACTTAACCACTAAATAGAACATGTGTTCTACTTCCTTGTGTTTTTAACATTCCTCAGTTATAATTTCAGATACAGTAAAGAACAATAGACATAACCTAAATAAACAGGTCTCTTTGGGGTACTCAATAATATTTGAAAGTTTAAAGGGTCCTCAGAGCCTGGTGCAGTGGCACAGGCCTGTAATCCCAGCAGCTTGGGAGGCTAAGGCAAGAGGATCTTGAGTTCAAAGGTAGCCTCAGCAAAAGTGAGGTGCTAGACAACTCAGTGAGACCCTCCCCCTAAATAAAATACAAAATAGGGCTGGGGATGTGGCTCAGTGGTCGAGTGTCCCTGAGTCCAATCCCCAGTACCCAACAACAAATAAATAATAAATAAATAGATAGATAGATAAAATAATGAAAGGGCCTCAGACTAAACAGTTGGAGAACCTTGGCTAGACTATCTCAAGTTAAAGTCTCCCTTCCCTATCTCCAAAATCTGTAATGCAAAAATGTCAAACCCATCTCCTAACGTCAGATTCTGCCCCCAATGCCTTCTGTCATTGTTTCAGGCACTCTGAGTCTGACTTCCCTGGCGAGGAGTGGCTGTGGGACTATGAGAAGCACGGCCAACGGCATTCGGTGATCAGGAGAGTCAAGCGGTTCCTGAGTACCCACGAGCACCCCGCCAGCCCCAAGAGGAGGAGCTTTGGGAGGCAGGCCAGCGACAGCTCCATGTTATTCCCGCTCAGCCCAGCTCGCGACCTGCTGGACGTGCCCTCAAGAAACCCCCATAGGGCTTCGCCGACTCGGAAACAGTCCCACTCCCTCGAGAGCAGTCCCAAGGTGCACTCCAGCATGGGAGAGCTGTCCACAATCAGGGAGACCAGCCGGACCAGCACTCTGCAGAGCCTGACCCCGCAGTCCAGTGTGCGGGCCTCCCCCACCAAAATGCCACAGGTCCCCGAGGTACTGGTCACCGATGCTGAAGCTCCAGAGCCCTCTTACGAGGGCCACCACCATGACTCCGCTACCTCCATCTTGAGCTTAGAGTTCACCGGGGTTCAACCCAGCAGGACTGGGCAGCAGGAGGACCCAGCGGGACTCCTGGCCCCCTCCGAAAAGGGGACACCTCCTCTGGGGCCTAGTCCTCAGACTGGTCCAGACAGCGACGAGAGACACCTTTTTCTGTTCGAGGAAGACCCAATTGAGGATAGGTTCCCCAAAAGGTGGAGTCTCCCAGAGTTCCGCGAGCCTAACCACACCTCCCTGGCAAACCTAGGTCCAGATCCCCTGAGCCCCGTGCCCGCCCTGTTGATCGACACGGAAACGTCCTCGGAGACCAGTGGAACCAACTATGGGGTCGGCTCTGGAGTCTCTCCTGATATGCTGTACTTAATGGAAAACCTGGACACCCAGGAAACCGATATCCTAGAATTTAACAACGAGCAAACGGAGGGAATGCCACAAAGTTCTAGAACCTAGTTCTAGCCTAGATTCGTACTTTACCAAAAGCTCAGCATTAGTCCCAGAATACCCAAGGGGCTGGTCTTTTTTTTTTTTTTTTTTTTTTTTTTTAATCACACAATAAGCTACTTAGAACATTGAAGGGCATTAGGATCCTTTTTGAAAACCATGAAAATCAAACAAATTCACATCATCCCCAAATTGCTATCATGGAAGTTATGCACACCATATTGAATTATCCTAACCAATAAGGAGTCTTGTATAAATATATATGACTTAGAAATTCACAGATTATTATCTTTGGAAGGGCCTTATAGATCATAGTCCAATCCCCTAGATACAAAATCCAAAACAAGATTCTCTCTTTCTTTTCTCTTTCTTTTTCCTTTCTTCCTTTTTTCCCTTCTTTTCTTTAACTATAAAGATGGGAGATGTATCAGAATGCCAAAGGTTCTTTTGTATTTACAATATTTTGGGGCTTTCCATTGACCTCACTCCCACTTTTCTATAACTGTTATTATTAACGTTTTCCAATTCTTAAGCTCCATCCATGTTAGAAAGCTTCATTTCTCTTCAATCTTCCTTTTTTTCTTTCCCTTTTATTCTGTTATTCTGTTTTTTCCTTTCCCTTTTCCTTGTCTTGCTCCTTCTCCAGTGACTCACCTGTTTTACAGGTGAGAGTATTTTATAGTATTTTCTCTTTCCAGCTCTGTTGCTTGCTTGCTTCTTGCCATGGTATTCAAAATATGAGGAACTGGCAAAACATCCTACCAATTAATCAATGATGTTAACAGATCTCCCACTCTTACAGTCTCATTGTAGAAGGGGTGTTGGAGTTGATGGTGACCATTCTCTCAAAGCCGTTGCTGTTTCTTTCTTTTTCTACTCTTTGATCTTGGACACTGGAGAAACTAAAGCCAAGAGGATATGAAACTTGCATAATCAATTGCTGTGGAACCAAAGTATAACATGGCTCAAATCTGTTTAACTTGAACTCTGAAACAAAAATCCCAATTGTGTCACAATGTGGGACCAGTTACTGTGTCTAATAGGTCATTTGAAATGAAAGAGGATATTGGAGCTGGGTAGATAATGGGGTCCAGGACTGCATGATGGGGATTGGATATTGACTGAGTCCCTCTTTTAGGTGGCCATTTGTTGAACCTCCCATATCTGCAAGGACTTCCTGAGGCTTACCACTCTCAGTATTTGTTGTCTGATAAAGCCTGGCTACCTATGGTTTAAGAAATAAAATCATCCTAAGCTAAAACTTACTGGGTGCTCACAGTGTTCCAGGCAGTGGCATGTAAAGTTCACAGATAATGTCTCTAATCCCCATAGGAATCCTGTGGGATCAATATACTATTATATTCATTTTGAAGATGAAGAAGAGGTGTTGAAGAAGTGAAGTAATGTGTCTAAATCTCACAGCCAGGAGGATCTGGCTCAAAAGCACACACTCTTAACCATTGTGCTTCCTCTCTACCCTGTGCTGTCTGTAAAGCCCTGAATCTGCCTGCAGTTTGCCTGGCGTTCTACTCCAAGGGAGCTATTATGGTTTAGATATGAGGTATCCCCCAAGAGCTCATGTGTGAGACAATGTAAGAAAGTTTAGAGGTGAAATGATTGGGCTATGAGACTCTTAGCCTTATCAACACATTAACCCTTAATTGGGAGGTAATTGTAAGTAGGTAGGGTGTAGCTGGAGGAAGTAGTCACTAGAGGCATGGCTTTGGGGTTTATAATTTGTCTGGTGAGTGGAGAACTCTCTGCTTCCTGATTGCTTTCCTCTTGATTTGCTTTCCTCCACCACACCCTTCACCATGATGTTCTGCCTCATCCTGTACACAGAGAAATGGAGTCAGTCCTCTATGGACTGAGATCTCTGGAATCATGAGCGCCAAATAAACTTTTCCACCTCTAAAATTGTTCTGTCAGGTCTTTTGTTCCCAGCAATGAAAAGCTGACTAAAACAGGAACTTTGCCCAAATTCAGTTCATGCTGAATCTCTCCAGCCTTGGAGGACTCTGTGGGTCCTGCCTGCCTAAGTCTACCTGCATCTTTCATGCATTCTAAGAGGAGAGCAACACTCCAATTTTGAACCTTAGCCACAGGCCTCTTCATTTTTCATGACAGAAGAAAGTTGGCAGGATCCTTCTTTCCCTTGCCCCACTCCTCCTAATGTGCAGTGTTATAATTAGCATGTTTTCATAAGACATCCAATCTCAGTGGGCCTTTTAAGCTACATGAGAGCAATGATTTTACTTTAACTAGCTTTTCTCAAAGCACTTAATGGAAATAATATTAGAAGAAATGCTACACATTGATGGTTCTCTATATCAGTTGATAGAGCATTGAGAGAGCACTGACATTCCCAAAACATTACTTACAAACTATGGGATCAAGCCCCAATGTGAGACTTCTAAAAGGCCAGAACCCTATGCTCCTTCCAGTCATTAGCCTCTTCATGCAATTTTCTTGAGTGTTTTAACTTATGTCCTTTCCTTTTCTTTGGCTCCATGTATTCAAATTCAAATAAATTTCCACTTAGCTGCTTTTGAAATATAATCAATTTCATTCCTAAATCCAAGGTGATAAATTATACACAAATCAAATAATATCTGTTGTGGAGGAATAGGAGAGCATTCATTTACCTCTACTTCCATCCTTGCCTTATACATGTTCATCCAGAAAAATTATTTAATTTCCTCAATATTTCTTCACAATTTGAGATGACCTCCCATTTTCTCCTTGCACAGAAAGCTGAATTATGACTTGTTCAATGAGCCCATCTGGAAGAAATCAACTATAAATTCAAGCCAGCAATTTCCCTGAGCAGATGAAGAGATTCTCTATTCATTCTAAAATAAGTTTTACCCAGCACAGACCAAGGTTGCAAAAACAAGAATTTCTTCTCATATGCCTGATTTCATTGCCTATCTAGCTCATTTTCTCCTGAGCACTGAAATGCACCTGGATGCATGGTCCCATGGCCTGGAGCCTTAGTCTTTTGGACTTGACCATTCCAAGAACAGGCTCAGCTTAACTGTAGTCTACAAGCCAGAAAATGCAGTGGGGTCCAGCCCTATTTGTTTCCTTCTCTCCCTGCTCTCCAGAGACAATGCTGCCCTGAACTGGGGTCCAAGTTCATGAAGGTAAAGGCCCACTAATGTTTTCTGTTTTCCAAGAATTTAGAGAAGACTAGTCCCTGGCAAAACAAAGACACAGCCGTTCCCTTTCCTTCTTTTATTATCTGTCAGCTTCCCAACTCATCACCTCCACTACCCTGCACATCCATTTCCAGCCCTGTTCAGCTAAGCTATAGAAAACATTTTAAACAGAATGGAGAATGGAAAATGGAAAATTTACCATAAATGTAAAGAAAAGGCTCACTTAAACATGTACCTCTTCTTTTTCAATGTTTACCCCTCTAATTTCTTTCTTCTCCAGAGAAATTGGTTCAGTCTGGAGACTTTATAGCCATAAAATTTTGCTCACTGAGAATCTGTGCTGCCTGGGCAGCCGTGTGGTATAACGGAGTAAGTACTACACAACCTGCATGGGAATTCCGACTTGAACAAGCACCCATCCTCCTGGATTTCGTATTTTTGTCTGTAAAATGTGCTGTTGTCTGGATTGTATCCCCAGGCCATTGTGAGGCATTGTGAGAACGGGTGGGAGAAGATAAGGACCCCAGGCTGGGCTGTGTGGATGATAGGCAAGATCGGCATTGATCCCCTGGGATTCACCCTGAATTCATTTGGCAATTTATTCTCTGAGATTCTAATCTCTTTCTTCATGAAGCTTTTCTTTTAACGTTCACAGCATTAAGCTTCCAATTTATCAATCATATCATTCCCTTTGGGCTTCTTTTTTCTTCCAGATGCTTCCCAACTTCCATATCTTCCTTCTCTCTGGCATATTTTATCATTCCTTCACTCGCCACAGTATCCCAGGCCTCATCACAGGGCGATGAGTTCCTCCCTAACCAATTATGCACATCCCTCAATGAAAACGTGGAAGCAGAAAAAATTAATTGCACTTGTTCTTTTCACTATAAATCTAGAGGATTTAGAACCCCTGGTTCAAGATTAGAAGACCCTCTTAGGGATTCTATTCTCCCTAAACCTGGTCTTCAGTCAGCTAATTAGGAAAAATATCTACAACTGTTTAAAAAAAAAAAAAACTCCTAAGCAAATTATAACCTAATTCCACCTGCCCTCCCCCATCACAACCATCTACATGATCAACAACAAACATTTCCTGATGTTCTGTGCTACAGATAGAGAAAGCCAAGGACTTACTCATTTCTTCTAAACTGTCTCAGATAGGTTCTCAATTCTGTTACACACTTTTTGTTTTTCTTAGTTCTATGAACCCTAATTTTTAGAAGTCTTTTCCACTGATATGGCCACTGAGTTGAAAGAACTAATTCAAGAACACCAGGACTGTTCTCTGATTACAAATCTTACAAAACCCAGAAGGATTCCAACCCATTGACAAAGCTTGAGCAGCTTGACCCCAAAGTTCACATCTCTCAATTCCCATCAGCACCTCCACATGTGCAGTCAGCTAGTCTCTGGCCATGGAAAGTTGAACATGAAGAACTTTTCCCTGTAAAATACAGTCTTGAATACCACATTTGCCCAAATATTCAATTAGACAGGAAGTTTTGTTTGTTTTATTTCTGAATTAGTTCAGAAATTGTCCTAAATCTTCCTTTTGCCACACTTGGATTTAGCCAGATAGTTCCCTGGAACCATCTTCTCTGAGCTTCCAGTTTTAGATTTGCCTAACAGAAGAAGAAAAGAGAATTCTGCATCTTGTATCCTGAAAACAAGAACATTTCTAAAATAGATGTTATGCAGAAATGTTGGTGTGTCCCTGGTTCTGTGTGGGCGAGTGGCTCTCAACTAGATGTGGCTTTGCACTCAGGAGACCCTTGGCAAAGTCTGGAGAGGTTTTGGTTGTCATACTGGGGGTGTTCCTGGCATCTGGTAGGTAGAGGCCAAGAGGGC